AAAAACACACAGTTGGAGCAGGAATTTCATGGCTCGGTATTTTTAAAAAGCAGCAAGACGTGAAACTGGAGTCAAAAATAACTGTGTTGTGGGCTTCTGAGACAGAACCCCCCCACTGCCTGCCAGGCCGGGCCCTCTCAGCAGCCTCCTCAGCTCCTGGGTACTGTCCACACGGGCGTGCCCGGCCCCCCAGCCCTGTCGCCCAGGAAGCCCTGAAGGAGCGGCAGAGCCAACCCAGGAGGTGAGCTGGTGCAGGAACGTTAGTTGTGGAAAACAGCTTCTCCCTGTTCCCTGCACAGCTCTCCAGCATCTGTGACAGGGGCCCCTGCATCACTTGGTGGTATCCCACAAGTACACCAGGGGAGAGGTCAGGGCCTCTGACTGGATACCCACTGAATGCCCAGTACCAAGCAGGAGGGCCGGCAGGCTGGGGCCCACCCTACAGTCTCTCGGCTAGGCGGCCACAGGGGAGAGGCCCAGCCACCTGAGGTGCTGACCTCTGCTGCCACCCCAGGGAACAGACAGGTGGCCAGGCCTCCATGGGGGCAGATGGAAAGCAAAGCCTGGTCAGAGCAGCTGAGGCTTCTGAGCCCTGGCCTGGGCTTTTCTCCAGGCCCTGCAGGCCTCTGAAGTCGAGGCAGCTTTCTTAGGAAAAGAAGACTCAGGCAGGCGCAGCGGGTCACGGGCTCTGGGAGGTCGGGACAGGTGAGCACCCCCTCCAGAGGCTCAGGATGGCTCACAGGAGGCCGGAGGCGGGGCAGCGGGGCGCGCACCCACACTCTTTCCGTTAGCCCAAGTGGCTCCTGACAATTCCCATACGGGGTTCTGAGGAGCAGGAAGTCTCCCAGAGAAAAACTTACATGTCATCGTTAGGAAATGTGTTTCCCCAGCAACCATTACAGTAGCTAGATTCAAGGGACGGCAGTCACGAGAAGTGCACATCTTTGAAGAGCTTCAGTCTTGCCCCTGAAACCTAGGTCCAGGTTCAAGGCTCCCATCTGGCAGGTGGCTCAGCGGGCTGAGGTAGAGCAGCCCTGGAACCCAAGGAAGACCTCTCTCCCCATAGCTGGCAGGGACGTGTAAGGCTGAACAAACATGGTGTCCAGCTGGGACCAGGGTCCCGAGGAACTCAGTGGAGGACCCAGTGAAGCCCTAGACAGCAAGCCCACAGGGGTGAGGAAGCGTCTTCCCACAAAAGAACCAGGACAGGGGCTGTGCTCTCTGGCCAGGGACCTCAGCCTGCTCGGCTATGAGCAGGAACTTCTGGCCTTCACTTCCAGGAAGATCCCGTTTGATTTGTGGATGAGCTTCTCAATGAAATTGCCCTTGACTACACCCAAATTGCTTAGCGAGGGAAGCTGGGTCAAGTTCAGGGTCACCTGGCATCCTGGAAAGGTCCAGGTTGAGTGGGCATGCAGCAGCCCAGGCACAACGAGCTGCCGCTAACGCTTCTGCACCTACACCGTGCTGGCTGCTGGATGCCAGGTGGAGGGTGACACGAGGGTCGAGAAGGGGAGCCCGTGGCAAGCTGAGGCCTCAGAGAAGCACGAGGAGGAAATTATGATGAAGACATGGCCCCTGCACTCTCCTTTCCACCTAAAGCAACACTGCAGGGGGCCTGGTAGCCAGACAGCCCTGAGGACAGCCTGCTCGGAGCCGGGCGGAGACTGTGTACCTTGCAGGGCCACCCCCAAAATCTATTTCCCTGAATAAATACTTTGGTAAAACAATGTATGCACTTTATAAAAAAGATATTCCTAAAAAAAGTAAACAGCACAGCCCCAGCTGGGGAGTCCAAGGGCTGGATTTCAGATGCTACAACACGCCTCCAGGACAGTTTTGCTTCCTTGGGGTCTCACTCTGGAGACCAGGGGCCTCTCCCCTGCAGTGACACCTGCAGCTGATCCCACGCCAGGGCAGCTGCACAAGGTGCCTCCTGGGGTAGGAGCACAACAGGGCCATCCCTTGTCCAGGTGCCAGCCTCTGTGTCCCCATCTCCATTCCACCCCCAACCCTCAGCATGGGTCAGGCCCTCCCTGCACTGCTCCTGGCCCCACCGCCTCTGAGACCTGGCCTACTATTCCCAGCCGACTCCCACAGTCCCAGCTGCCTGCTCCTCCCTGAAGGCCTGGCTCTGCTGTCAGGAGTCAGTCCTGGGCCTTCCCAAAGGTGGGACTGGGTCTTGCACCAGGCCCTGGCCGTAGAAAGGGCCCAGTGAACCTGCATGTGGGGGCCCGCCAGCCCCGCTGTGAGGGCCGAGGCCTGGCTCCCCAGGCAGGGAGGCAGTGAGGAACTGGGGCAGCTATTTCTGGTGCCCTGGGAAGATCCCCCAGCACCCGTGTCCACCCAGCCTGGTCCTGAATTACAAGGGTGGCAGCGTGTGACACTGTGGGGACTGCTCAGAGTCCCATGCACCATGGCATTATCTAATCCTCGGAAGAGGCCCATGAAATGGCACCATGATCAGCTACACTCCAGATTCAGAAATGGAGGCACGAGAGGTTAAAGTGACGTGCCCATGGCCACTGAGCTGGGAAGTGGGAAGCTGGGATTTGCACCCAAACAAGCTCTGAGTCACCTCTCTCCATGGGCTCATGCAGCTGCCTGATCGCCAGACCTCTGCCTTGCACAGAGGTGCCACTGAAGAGGACCAAGACTGGGCCCCCGGCCTTCAGACTGCTGCCAAGTGGGCTACAGACATCCAGAGAAGAGGACTCTGTTCCTGGGCCGCAGCCAGCCTGTTGGGCAAGATGCCAGGCTCTGAGGGCCGGGAGTCTCCACAGTGGGGTGCCCTGCTCAAGCCACCCAGGGGCTGCAGGCCCTGAGACCCCCTCAGTAAGCATCCCCAGCCACTGCAGCTCCCAGAGTTCTTCCCTGGAAGGATGCTGTGCAGAACAGAGGCCCCAAGGACTTGGAAGGCAGTTTCCCTCTAAGCCTCCTGGAAGCAGACTTCCTGAGGGGAGCTGGGAAGGGAAGTGAGGGTCAGGATGGAGAACAGCACGATTCAGAGGCGACTCTGAAGTAGGAGTCCGTGCTGGGTGGCTGAGCCCCCACTGCGCACAGGGTACAGAGGCACGTCAGGACGGCGAAGTGCGCCACTGCAAGGACAGTGCCTGAGGCCAACACCCGCGGGCCAAGGAGGCTCAGGGCCCGGCTGGGCTGCCCACACGGGAGCTCTGGACGTCTGGCTCTTGGCTTGGGGGAGGCATTCCCAAGATGAGGGGCAGCTCAGCTAGAGGCCCGACTCTAGGAGAGGAGGGGGGTCTGGAAAACAAGTGGCCCCAAGCTCAAGGGGAGCTCACGAGTCAGCGCAGACGGGTGCACTGAAGGCTGCAGCTGGGGTCTCCATCTGTGGAACCCAGGTTTAAACATGCCTCATTTTCTGGCACTCGGGAACACACCCTGTTTGGCAGAGCAGGTGACCAGCTGATGGCCTTGGCATCTGGTCGGGTGCAGTGCCATCTGCATTGGCAAGGGGCTGAATGGTGTTGGAGGGCACAAGATGCCACAGAGATACCCAGACCCCAGCACAGTCCTTGCAAGGCTGGGTGCCATCGCACTCCTGGCAGCTCTGTGCACGTCCCTGAGCACGGCAACAGGGCTGCTGTTTAGTGTTAACTGCTCTGGATCCAATGAAGCTTTTTTTAACCAACTTCTCAGACTTGACTTCCAATTTTATCCTAGGAAGTTCTAACTGACTCGCTTCCCCTGATCTCTCACTTGACAAGGCTGTCAAGAATATGAGCAGCCTGGGTGGTTTCTGATGGGCCTGAGGAGGATTTTTTCTCTCGGCACGCTGCTCCTATTTCCTAGCAATGCCTTCTTCTCAAGGGTTAAAGGGCTTCCAAAAACGTCTGCACAATGTGCCCAGTCCCGCATTCCCCCAGTCACCGACACCTGACCTTTCCCTTCAAATGGTCCTCCTTCAGTGAGCCCGAGGTGTGCCAGCTGGGATGTGGTGACACGGCATCAGCCACACATGCCATGGAGGAGCTTCCTCCTGGGGCCCAGACCCAGGGGGACGGAAGGGTGCCATGCACTTCAGCTCCACTTCCATGAGACTAAGGGTCCTCCTTTGTGTTCCCCCCACACCCTGGGTCTACCTCCAAGGCTGTACGGCGGGGTGGGGGGGCTGCACCCAGAGCCAAGGAGAGAAGGAGAGAAGGGGCCTGAGGACCTTTAAACTCTGCCTTGGGCCACCACTACCTGTATGCCCCCACCAGCCACGCTGGGCTTGCAGCAGGGCCTGGATGTGCCCAGGACTCCCTCCAGACCTTCAGGCAGGCTGCCACTTCTTGTCAGGGCATTTGGCAATCCTGGGAACTCCTGAAACCCTACAGTTCTGTGAACGAGCTGCCAGAAAGATGCACACTCCAAAGGGTGGGGCCCACACCTGCCTTGCCCCGCAGCTGACATCACTGAGCATCCACCTGGGGCCAGGTGAGACCAGACACTTCCCACGGACCCACCTCCTCCAATCCTCATACAAATGTGGGGGGCGGAGCCCAGGGCCACCACACAGCACAGCTAAACACACCAGAGCTTAGAGAGCTGAAGGGATTTCTCCAGGGTCACTCAGATGATAAGCAGCAGTGTCAGTCTGAACCCAGAGCTGGGTTCTTGGGTGCCTGGACTCACTCACTGCTCATGGTCCCCTGGCACGTCCCTGAAGTGCCCACCCAGCAAAGAGGGGAATGACTGGACAGCACCTCCTTCAAGGCTCTTCTGTGGCCCACCCCTGCCCCGAGCAGGCCCGCTCCAGGCAGGCCCACACTGGCAGGATGCCTTGTGGGTGATGCAGGGGTCCAGTGGCTTGACCAGGGTGGGGATGGCTCTGAGGGCCAGGACCCCAGAGCTGACACTGCTACTTCACTAATTCAGGCTGGAAGATAGACCCATTATAATTATGTCTTTTAAAAATGCAGCACCCGCTGGACAACTTCAAGGGGTCTGAATGCCAGGCCGAGTGCAGACGATGGGGTGAACTCAGCAGCCCCTACCTGGGTGAGGACATCCAGCTGGCCCACGATGTGCCCCAGCGTGCTGGTCAGTGTCTGGGGCGTGCTGACGGGCTCCCGGGGCCGGCTCTGCACCGACTCCTGACTCCTGCCTCTGCCTGCTGGGAGCAGGAACTCCACTTCTGGCTGAAGACAGTGAACAGAAAGAGGGCCCCTCAGTCTCAACCCAGTGCTTGGGGAAACACAGAGAGGACAGCCCCTGCATGGGGGTACCTGGAAGCCCCCAGCAAACTTGAGGAGACAAGTTCCAAATGGTGGGAAACAGCAGTGTGTGGTTCTCCCTCAGCCGCGCCCCTCCGCCCCCTCCATTCTCAGCGGAGGCCGTGATGAGAACAGAATCAGAGGACCCAGCAAGGGGACGAGGGGGCCGGGCAGGGATGTGCAGGTGGGCAGGTGAGGGTCCGCAGGGAAGCCGGGCCGGCTGCCAACTGTCCGTGCAGCTTGCACCCTCCAGCAGGCCTCTCAGAGGGCAGGGGCCCTGAAGCCCGGCCTGGCTCGGAAGTCAGTCCTCCTGGTATCCTCCATGCTAATCCCCACCCTCAGCACGTGGATGGCCCAGCACTAGGGGATGGTCCAATCCTGTTCTTGTGCACATTCCCTGGGAAGGAGACTGCAAGGGAGCGTTCTGGCAAGACGGCTGCTACGGTCAGAATCCACAGGACAGGACTCACAGAACATGAGCAACTCAGGTTTCTGCCTAGAATCCTTTAGTTCCCAAACACAGATCCTCCGTTACCCCCTCACCACTGAGGATGAGTGATTTCCTAAGGGGATTCATTCCAGTCCAAGGTGCATCCCCCCAAATTCAGGCCCTGCTCTGCACACAGATGGAGGCGTCTCCTGACATAGGAAGTGCCCTGCTGTGCTCAGCAGGGCCGGATTCTGGGGCCACCTGGCCCCTGAGGACATGTTCCAGTTTGGTCTCAGAGCCTACGATCCCTCTGTGGACCTGCTCCCTGCAGAATGCCGGAATGCCGTGCTGGGCAAGGCTCACGTGCTCAGCCAGGCCCAAAGCCCCTGCAACCTAGAAATGCAGTCAGACTTGGGGCCCCGGGTTTCACACCACAACCCTACTAGTGGGTGTTCCAAGTGTCCCCGTATCACTTCCAGGGTTCCCTGCCCCTTGACAAGCCCCTTGCTCCAGCCTGCCTGCCCCACCCCTCCTTTCCCTGCTCCCAGTTTCCTGTCCTCCACTCACCCCCCCGTGAGGGTATATTCCGCAGTGCTCCCTGCCCTGCTCCCCTGGCCACTGCACCCCCAGGGTCAGCACACGAGGGGGATGGCCTGCCACCTGCCCGAGTGTTTGTGTCCCTCTGTCTCCTGCCTGCACTCATCACCCTGCCCCCTCTAAACCCATGACATCACTGGGCTAAAAGCCTGTCAGCTACCCACGCACCAGAGCCAAGGCTACTTCACCCAGCCCCCTCCTCCCCCAGTGCCAGTCCGTGGAGCACTTAGGCTGTGCCTGGGGCTCACCTGGGCGGCCTGCACACCCACCCACCGCCTGGCGCCGACACTAGGCCACCTGCACCCCGCCATCAGCACATCTCCAGCTTGCAGCTCCGAGTCTCCCTGTTTCTCACACAAATCCACAGCGGCCCAGCCTCGGGAAGATGCTCTGCCCTGGCCGTGCTCACCTGGCTGGGCATCAGAGTCCTTAAAGAGAACCAACTCAAGAGAGGATTCCCAACCAGCGAAGGAGGGCAGTTTAGCAAATGGACCCACCTGCATATTTTCCTTTATTAGGAACATGCTCTGATCTCATAGGTAACAATTCTACAGTGTATGTTGATCTTAACTTGGAAAAATGCAGGCCTTGCGGTTAAAAAGAACTTGAATGTGAGACACAAGCCCCAGGGTGGGCGTGTCTGCTGTGGTGCTATGACCGTTCTGTAAGACCTGGAGGGGTGGGGGTGCCCGAGGGCAGGGCTCCAGTCCTCCAAGGATCTATGCACTTTTTGGAGTGTCAGCCCTGAAAGTTGGTTTTTTTTCCTTCCTTTTTTTTGTCACACAAGTGCCTGCCCTGAGCTTTGATTGTTCAGGCATCCACTTCAAAGAAGGCTATCTGGAATAAACACATTGCCAGCCATGTGACGAAAGAGCCAGCCACCTCCCCTGCAACGCACCTCTTTTAGAGATCTTGGTTAATTTTGACAGGACCCTTTGGGAAACTTTTTCTTTCTTCCTCAACTTTAAAATTCCCGCTCTTATGTTTTAAATTCACCAATAAGGAGTGAGCCCCTGAAACCCTAGGCCTCCACCCTCGACACTGATGAAGCAGAACCCTAGGCCCGCCCGCGCTCATTCTCTCTCCCCACGGCCGCACTGTGTGGCCCCATACGTGCTGTGTAATTTTCAGGTTCTATATAATAAACCTGTTTTTCAGTTTCCTGATAGTTATTGCTGAAGGGTATCCTGCAGTCAAAAAGAACCATAAGGGCTGGTCCAGCCATGACACTGGCTGTTGACGGGCTGAGACCACACACGACATCAGAAGTGCACCCCAAAAGGAAACATTTCAGAAGCCTTCCCCCGCCCGCACCTCATTGCAGCGGCCCCGGATGCTGGCAGCCCTGTAGGGAGCCACAGTAGAGAGCAGCCACTCAGAACAGCCTTGGCCGGCATGCCCGCTCCACCACTGACCGGCTGGGGGCCCGGGGCAAGGGGCTTCCTGGCTCTGGGCCTCTGCTTCTCTGTGACCGGGGTGATGACTGCACCTGCCCTCAGAGGGCTAGGTGGGAGGCACTCATCTGAAACCCCAGCAGGCCTTCCCTGAGAAGCATTCAAGGTCCTGGGCCCACTGCTCCCCAAGGACCCCCCCCCGATCACACGAGCTCTTCCTCTGGACACAGAGCCCCCGGGGCTCCCTGGGTGCTGCTCGCTTCCTGGGAAGGAGGGAATGTCATCCTGAGCCCCCTCAGAAGGGCCCAGAAACTGACAGGCCAGGCCCCTCCTTGGCCGCAAGGTGACCAGGTGCTGGGGAAGCACCATGCACTTCAAGGACAGGAGCTCTCCCTCTGAACCAGAGCTGAGACAGCCCCCGAGAGTTCTGAGGACAGCAGCCACATGCCTGACCGGGGGTGGGGGGGTGGGGGGTGGCCTTGGGAGGAGAGGCCCGCAGGAACCACTATGCTCCCCCACCTCCTCCCAGCTCTCCCAGAATGAGTCCGTTTCACAACAAAGGAAACTGAGGCTCAGACAGGAAGTGACTTACTGTAAGAAGACTCAGAGAGGGCACTTAACTTACTTGAAGACAACCAGAAAGTGACTGAGCTGGGATCTGAACCCAAAGTACTGGCAGGTCCCTGACGTCAGATGCTCTTGCATGCAGGCTTGCCTCCATACACCTCACCTCTCCCCTGCATCCCCATGAGGGCCCAGCTCCTCACCCACCTGCCCTGGAATGCCTGTTGGCACAGAGCTGAACAGAGTGGGGGCCTCTGCAAACACTTGACTTGGCCTTAAAGAGCCAAGCCCACTGTGGTGACATTCCGGGGCCATGAAACCTTCTGCAAGCAAAGGGCCAGCAGCCCCGCCCTGCACAGCATTGCAGCCACTCACCAGCATCCCAATACTTGGGAGAGGTGGCATTTCCCAAGGGCTTGGCACAAGTGATAAAGCACAGATAAGAAGGGGACTCGAGGGCGGGCTTACACTTTTGCCAAATATGAACATCTCAACATCAAAAGGAAAGAAAGGTGGAACTCAGACTGGATGAATTTGTGTGACTTTGCAGATTTTACTGGGGTCTGTAGGTGACCCCTCACCCTACTCTGCTGTGGGATCCTGGACTCTCACAGCAGGTTAGTCTCCAGCTTGCTTCAGCTGCTGCTGCTGCTAGCCGGTCACAAGCCGCTGGGAGCACAGCTCCTCACATTGGTAGGAACTGCCTAAGTATCTGTGGTTAATTTAATCTCAGCCACTCAGGCACATGGGCAACCAACCCATAAATTTTCATTCAAACACAAAACAAAACAGCTTGCAAGTCTTTCCTGTGACAAGAAATGAACTCATCTGGGGTTAACATCTTGACTGGTCTCCACACTGGCTATGGTCTCACTTTTTCAACATCAGGATGTGGGTATGGATGAAGACCTTCCACCCAGATGTAGAAAGCTGGGGAAGGCACTAATCTCCTCCGAATAAAAGACTAACATTCTAAAAGAATCATTATTTTTCTTACATTAGAAAGCTGAGGCCAGAGGGCAAACAACTAGCCTGAAATCTAAGCAACGACAGACTCTTCCAGGGCAAACAGGAAGTGAGCATCAGCTTACCTTTGGCAGGAAGGAGGGACACTGAGCTGCCCAAGTGGCAAGAACTGTGTTACAAGCTTAACAAAGTGCTGGAGACTCAGGGTGGACAGGGTGAAAGTGAGGAGCCCCTGGGAGCCACAGACACAGGGGACTTGGCACCCACTCACAGTGTCTTCTCGGCAGACCTGCATGAGGACTGGTGAGAAAGGCACTGGGGCTGGGGAAGAGACCTTGAAGAGGGGAGACAGAAAAGGCATGAAGCCCTGCCAGGGCCTCTCTCTCCTACAGAACAGAATCCTAAGCTACTGGGGGAAGAACACAGATAAAACCCCTCTGCCCTTGGGGAGAGGCAGGACCACCGAGACCCAGGGACAAAGGGCCTGCCTAAGACTGAAGCCTCCACAACACCCGAGCACCTCCCCAGCTCCCCAGCAGAGCCCAAGGAGCAACAGAGCCTATGGCTGGGGGAGAGGTGAGAGTATGGAAGTGGACACCCTCTGAGGGGCAGGCCTGCAGGAAGGCCGAAAGCTGGCAGCAGAGCAGGAGCCCTGAGTGGACCCTCCGACACCCAGGGCCCACCCTAAGGACACAGCAACACTAAACTCAGCTCAACCCAATAAACTGATCACCTCCCTCTTGACTATCCAATCACAGTGCTTGGCATTTAGCCAAACGTCATCACACACAAAAACAAGGGAGAAAAAACCCCTGTCAAAAGAGACGAGCAATCGGCAGAATCAGATTCAGATGATGTAGATGTTGACACTATCAGACAGAATTTAAAATGACTATGACTACTGGAAAATGTGGACAACACACAGGGACAGATGGGGAATTTCAACAGAGAGGTAGAAATGGCACATCCATGGA